GCTACTTCAGAAACATCTTCCATGCTGTATTTTGGCACTTCAGTAGCAATAGCTGTTTTCGAATGGACTGTCTTTACTGGTTTTTCAACCAAAAAAGTTTGTTCAGCCATGAAGGCTTCGAACATTTCTTCCTCCACCATTTCTTTTCTTTGGCCTAGGCCCACTTTTTCCTCTATTTCACTGTCACTCTCCATCAGGGCCTTTTCCAATCTTGCCAAACTGGTCATTTCTTTGGCTCTTAGTTCAGAGTGAACTTTGGCCAATTGTTCTCTGCTGCAACCCTTTTGTCTTGAAGAGTTGATTTTGGATCATGATTTAGCTTTGAATTTTCTTCTCTTTCTGCTTGGCTCTTTAGTTGGACCAATGAAGAGCACTCTCCACTTTCTTTTAGGTCCTTCTGGTACTGTATGTACCTTCGTTGGATCTTCCTTCTTTGGGACCTAGAAATCACTGGGACCATGTTTGGTTCTTTTGTTTTCGCATCTTCGAAGTTGGCTGTGAAGGCCACTGCTTGGCCCTAACTCTCTGCTTTGGGCCTAATTCAGGCCTTCGATGAAGGTGGCCACTTTCTGTCCTGCGTGAGGCTAGTCTAGGAGGCCAATCTCTGGCTTTGACCCCATAAACTAAACCCTTTTTTTGGTCTCCTTTCATGATAACCGCTCTCCATTCTATAATGATTAGGTGGTCTGGACTCATACAAAGGCCTCTTGCCTTTAGAATGCATTCTAGTGGCCGTTGGCTCAACCATTAATGGTTGCTGCCTACTACTAGTTGGATATGGCCTTTTGTTGTAAGTACCGGTTAGTTTAGAACGCCTCTGCACATCCTTGTAATATTGTTTCCCATCAATCGGAAGCCCTTTCAACCACTTATAGCTCAGCCTGCATCTGGGACATATTCTTTGCATAACAACTACCTCCAAAGAATCATCACCCAGTGCTTTTTCATCAATGTGTTCCCTCTGGTCTGAGAAACTTTGACTAATAACTGGTAGATTTTCAGTGTCTTTCTTGACAGTTGTCTGGCTGGCAACATGCATCTGCACATTGATTTCTTCCAATTCTTTCAAGGACAAGTTCTGGAGGTTTGGCACAATAACATTGGCTGCCACTTCTCCGATTTCTAGGAACAAATTAGTGTCAATCCCCATGGCCTTTTCTGTTTTAGCTGGGAATTTTAGACTCTCCTTTTGAATTTGCTCTTGGATCCTGTCTCGAAAAACAATGCAGTTTTTAGTTGAGTGAGACAAAAAATTATGCCATTTACAGTACATTTTTCCTTTAAGTTCCTGTGGAGACGGAATTTTGACTTCTTTTGGTAACTTTAGGAAATTTGAAGCAAGCAAACAATCAAAAATGTCATCTGTCTTTATTAAATCGAAAGAGTATTTCCTATGAAGGTCTTTCTTTTTAAACTGCTGGCCAATTGTTGTGTCTTTATGAATTAATGCCTCACAGATCACAGGTTCTTTTCCCACAATCTCTGCTGCATCAATCTCATAATTAGGATCTCTATAATATGTCTTGTATGATGCATTATTTCGATCTTGTTCTTCCTCTAGTAATGCTTCATACCTAGACACCTTATAAGTTAGTTCAACCAAGTCCCTAAACTCAGTTGAGTCAAACTTCTTTCGAAGCCTAAACTCTAAGCCATTTTGAGCCAATCTCACGAATTCTGGCTCTAGTAGGATGACCCTACATTTGTTTCATGCTCTTTTAAATCTGGCAATAAATTGAGCAGCCTTTTCATCAAGCCTTTGGCTCAACCTTGCCAAATCTGCCATGGACACTTCTGGCTCCGTTTAGAAGAATTGGGTATGAAATGCCTCTTCCATTTGTTGCCAAGTCCGAATGGAGCCAGGCGTAAGGTTAATATACCATACGAAGGCTGCCCCTGTAAGAGAATTTGGAAACAATCTTAACTTCATGTAATCATTATTGGTAAATTCACCACATTGAGCAGCAAACCTAGCAACATGCTCTACTATTGACTGGTTTCCATTCCCATAAAAAAGGGCAAAGTCTGGTATCCTGAATCCTCTTGGATATTCATGTACCCTATCCACCCATTCTAGATATGGTTTCCTGTACATAGGAGTTTGAACCCCCCGAGTCATTAGTCTACACATCTCTCTAACAATATCAGCAATTTGGTCCCTAGGAACCATATTTTGTGCCTGTTGAACCACTACTAGAGGAACAAACATAGGATTTTGTGGACAACCTTGTGCTTGTGGTCCTCTTGGCCCATAAGGTGGTATATTTGGGGCTGATTGTCCCTGTGGTGCCGGTTGCTGTTGGGGGTATGGGTAACTCCTTTGAGCCTGTCCTGCGAATGAACCTGTGAAAGGTGCTGGAACAGGTGTTGTGTCTCTTCCATTTGTAGGAAAACCTTTCAACCCCTCGGGTATAAATTTGAATAAGGGATTAGTGAACCCCCTTGTGCCAGGTATGGCTTCGAACATGGGATTTGGAACCATTCTTATGCCATTTTCTTGTCTTGGGTCAGATCCACCAATTTGCATGGATTCACTGTTAAATACTGAGGCATTTTGACCTGCTCTAGGCCTCGAAATAGGTTCATACCAAGACTGAGGTGATGGTCTTTCATGGTTTTGACTACTAGTTTGACCATTAGAATGTCCATTAATTTGCATAGGCTGTTTATCTCTAGCCAATCTTTGTGAGGGACATTTGAAACTTCATCCATATGTCTTGTATTTGTTGGTTGATGGGTATTCATTCGATCTAAAAAGGATGTTGCCCATCTCTCGATTGTGTTCATTAACTGTTGTCCCATGGCATCTACTAGGCCTCCCCACAGATTCATTGGCTGAGTAGATGGAACAGTGGATTGTCCAATTCCTTGGCCTCGTCCAATATTATGAACATGTGGTACTTGTTCCGAAGTACTGGTCTGTTCGACCATAGGTTCTGATAAAATAGGTGTTTCCACAGAATGTGTTATCACATTATCCTCTGGATTAGGTATTTCTACCTCTCCTTCCACGCCTTCTTCGAAGCGTTCATTTTCTCATTGTCTCCAACGTCTAGCCATTTCAATTAGTCCTTCCGGACGTGCCAAAAATATATGTTGGCTTTTTGGCTTTCGAAGGTGATTATTGTAATTATGAGCGTGCCAGCAAGGATTAATCAGTCCTTACAGAAAATTAATTGCCAACCAATTATCAGACGATTGTGTTTTAGTTCTTTCAGCCTCAATGAAGAGGACTTTTACTGGTGACTTGATTTAGGAGAATTAAGCAGATGACAATCAAATGAAGAGCAATTGAAGCATTTCATTAAAATGAAAACTTACAATGATCCAATTCAGCCTCGTAGAAGTTTACAGCAACAATCTACTTGAAACTACTCCTATGAACGAAGTGCAGTGCAGGAATTAAAGTACAGAAATGTAAAGAACAGGAAATGTAAAAACTGGAAAGAAAATGAAGTAGAATAAAACTGGTTTTTTTTTATCTAAGTCTGAGGTTTTTTCTGGGGCCTTCTCTGCTATTTATACTTCTCAAGGATGACCATCGAACTGCACTTTCAACCGTCGAATTGCTCATCCGTGATTACTGATCATGTTGCCTTATAATTAACTCCACTATGCCATCACTTGCAGTTAGGCTTCTCTCCTAATTTTGAATTCAAATGTGAGTAACCGTTGAAAGCACATCACTTTGCATCTCTTTGTTGATTCAGAATTACGCAGATCTTATGCAAACCAATATTAACTGCCACGTGTAAGATCACGATCGAAGGTTTGAGTTTTCTTCCCGTTTTACCCTCAATCTGCCATGCATTAAATTGTAATTGGCTTATACAAAATATGTAGCCAACATATGTCAATGTGAATATTCACACGTCAATGTGAATATTCACATTGTAAAATACGAATGTTCACATTGCTAATCGTTCAAAAAATATTTGTAATGATAGAAATGGTCATAAAATATCTTAAATATAAGAATTAGGATTTGGTAGATCAAATAATCCAAATAATAGGACCTACTAGAATATAAGAATATCTTATGGACTAATTAGAATACAAACACTTGAAAAAGGATTTTTTAATAAATATCTTTAAAATTAAATCTCAATTTTTCAAAAAAGTTAGTTTAAAATCACTCTATGAAAAATCACTTTGGAAGATCCTTACTTAAGTAAAAGAGGTAGTTTGGTAATTGTAGTGATGGATTTTAAATTGTTTTTTATAGGATTGAATTTCTACCAAGTTTAACAATATGAATTTGGGAGAACCAGGGCATCAAAGGAGAAGTTTCTTTTTTTGTATTTGTCGAAATTATTCTACTTACATATTTTGTTTCAATGATCTGAATTGTTTATTTTAAAAAATTATTATATTATTTATGAAAAAAATTAGGTTGATTCAATCTTCATAATTTTTTATTTTATCATATTTATTTTTGAAAAAATAGATGACAAATATATATTTTTAAATGAATCATATATTTTAGATATAAATATGATGAAATAAAAAAAATTATAATTATCGAATTGACTTAAATTTTTAAATAAATAATATACATAGAGTGTTTTATAAAATAAAAGATTTAAATCACTAAAATGTGATCCATGATGGGCTCATGAGCCCCTCAAGCTCTCTAATATTCAAATTTAATTTTTTTTTTTTTAAAACGCAACTCGCAACCCTTAACCCTTATGAATATTTTATTTTCCAACTTTTCGAAATTATTTGTCCCAAAAAAATCGAAACCATAAAATTAAAAGGATACCAAACATGTCCGAAGTCTCTGAATGATTTCCATAGGCTAGAGCATACACAATCACACCCCGCTCTTTTATAACGAAACAATACACAGTCCAATTGTAGGGCTAAATACAGATCTGAAGGTGAAGGGTTTCGGAGTCTCTCTCTCTCTCATCTTCTTCTTCTTGTTCTTCTTGTACAAAACACCCACACAGAACCCCACGAAGCTCAATCGCAGAACAGAGATTTCCTAATGGCGCACCTCCTGGTCCTTATTCCGGAACCAGTACTCTTGCTTTGGTATCTCTCTTCATCTCTCTCTCTCTCTCTCTCTCTATATATATATATATATGCACATATATATTCTGATTTTGATGTATGTGGATGTAGGTGGCTCGTGTTTCTGCCTTCTCTGTAGGACTCGTTTATGGAAGCATGAAACTCAAGTATCTCCAGGTACTCTTCCTATTCCTTACCCTTGTTATTTGGATTTTTAAATTTTTAATAATTTTCTCTCTTGTCTAAGCTTTCATTTTTTTGTGTGTGTGTGTGTGTTTTTTTTTTTTTGTTATTATTATTTTTGGATTGAAAGATTAATAAGAAGAAAAAAAAATCTATCTCTATAATTGAAAAAACAACAATGACATGTGCATATCAAATCAATAGAATTGATGTTATGATGAAGGAATATCGAGGGTCAATAAAAGAGGTTTGAAAAACTTTGGTGGCCATTCTATGCACATTGTAGATATACTCAGAAAATAGGAGAGGTAATAGAGAAAGGAGTAGTGCTACTCTAGCCCAAAGTTAGACCCACTTTTCAAACCCAGTCATGTGACAGTCTATTAGAATATCTAAAGCAACTCTCTATCTCTTATGTCTTCTCTAATCATCAACTGATCATCTCTTTTAAACATTATTGGGTCTAAAAAGTGGGTTTCTATATCATTTTCCTAGAAATTTTTTTGGAAAACTTAGGGGGAACATGGCCTCCCTTGGCCCCACCGCTTGCTTCATTGATGTCACACTTAATTTAAATTTAGACATCTGTTTTTCTGTGTTGATTCTGATCTGCCTTGTATTATGGGTGTTAATGGAATGCAATAATGGATAAGTTGGTTCAATTTTTGTTCCGAACTAAAATTTGCTTAGTTATTTTATTTATCAAATGTAATTTATGTTTTTGTGTTGGTTGCTACGTAGTATAGCATTGTAGGAGGTCCAAGTTATCATGCCATTTATGGTTAATGGTGGAATTTTATTTTTTTGGTTTTGAAATGTGCACGTTTCAGTAGTGGTGACCACTAGTGATTGTCACAATTCAAACCAGTATTACCTTATATTAATGTTTTCTAGATATTGAACTCTTTTCCATTATTCTGTTGAATTCAATGTTTACCCAATGACATAATATTATGGATAATTTCTATAATCATGGCCAAGAAGTCCTAAGAAAATTAAGGATTCTGAACTCTTAAGCACCAAACCTAAATGTTTGAGTTGCGAAGTGGAAAATGGGGGAAACTTTGATGACCCTAAGCAACTGAAGGTGGTCAATTCATTGGGTGGTGGTAATTCATTTTTCCTAATCTGTTCTGACATGATGGACTTCTGTGGGACGACCAACGCTCTTTAGTCTCCTGCTGAGCATGTAATTTTATTTGATCTTGTTTGCAATTTTGCACTTACCATGTAAGCATGTCTTAGGAAAGGATGGGATCACTTTTCAGTTTTCCCTAGTTGTTTTAGTTATTTCTACAATGCTTTCAAGTTTAGACAATACATATATGTCATGTGTAAAACAGGGGGACAAGGTGGGGAGGGTATTGGCGGATAGGCTTCCTTTGGTGTAGCTTCCTAGAATTGGGAGTTGTTTTATGGGAAGTGACGTATGAAGGATGGATACGGATACAACATGATATGGATACATGACAACACATTTTATAATAAGTGGGATACAAATATGGGCATAAGTTAAAAACAATTTTGTCATAACATATTAATAACAAACTGTATCTTTATTTACCTACCGAATATTCTCAATTTCAAGTTTGTTACTTATTCATATAAAATAAAATAAATAAAGGTTTTATAATACATACATGTTCTTGGACCAAATTTTGTGTGCTTTAATCTCATCATTTTCTATGCAAAGTATTGGGTGTATAGCGAGTATACAAAGTATCAGGAACTACCCTCCTCCAACAATTATACTTTAATGGTATACCTAAAATGCTACATCTCAATTTGTAGGTAGGTTGTTAGATACATGAGCTAGAGTATTCAAAAAGTATTCGATACTTTTTCAAAATTGAAGAATATTAGTTTCAAATAATAGATACATTTAGGAAATATCAGATACTGTTTTGTGAGTATATGAATCTTAGTATCTGACACGATAAGACGTGGGTAATATTCCCTTCTAGAAGTATTCATGCTTCATAGGAAGGCAATGACCAATTGGAACTGCTTAATGCTGCATCTAATAATATTTTAAGTGGAACTTACTATTTCTGTCATGCCAATTCTAGCACGTCGCACAAGAGATCTTAAGCTTTAGAAATGCTTTGTAGAAGGTTATGTTGAACTTCCTCCAAGATCATTGTTGGGTGCTGGAGTAACAAACATAATTTTTTGTGGCAATTTCGTATCTTTTTAATACAAGTGTTTTTAGTGGGCTTTTTAAAAGGGAAAATCTATTTACTTAGAAAATAGGTCTAGAATTTTGCCCATAATGTGGCCTTGTTTGGTTTGTTTTTCAAAAAATGTTTTGAGAATTTTTTTTTGAAAAAATAAAAACTAATTTGATAAAAATAAATATCAAAAAAATATTTTTAACTTTTTTAAAAATCATTTCTTGCCTCCCAAAAGATAAGATAATATAAAAATAAATATCAAATTTTTATTTTTATTTTTAATTTCTTTCACCAAATTAATTTTTAGTTTTTTAGAAAAATTTTCTAAAACAAGTTTATGAAAACCAAACTAAACATGAAAATGTTTGCATGAGATTGAATTGGTGTATCGTGAGGTCATGTATAGAATGAATCTGGACGACAGGTTGATATTTTTGGGTAAAATTTTGGGTATAGTATTATTATCTTTTAAACCACATTAGTTGGTTTGGCACACTTGATAGAGGAAAGAATTCCAACGTGAAGTGTTTGGGTTTTTTATTATAATCCTTCAGCGAACCACCTTTTATTACATTGCACATTAGTAGAGGTGGCAAACGGGTTGGTTTGGGCGTGTTAAAACAGGTTATGCATTAAAATAACTTAACCATTACCCGCATATATATTAAACAGGCTTAAATGTGTTGGGTTAAATTGGGTGCGGGTTATGCGAAGCAACCCAACCAACCGTTTGAAAAATAATCACCACATCATTTCAATATAAGATTAAGAATTTTTCTTCAAATTTTAGTATATAATATAAGAATAACCTAATAAAAACAACTGACAATAATTAGTCAACCAAAATTTTTATTTGCTGATGCAGCTAATGTCTGCAAAAACATATACATATATATATATATATATATATATCATGATGCACGGACACAAGACAATACACGGATACACAAATTTTCAAAAAACGGGACATACGACACATTGGGGACACACTCAATATATGTATTAAAAAAAAAAATCATTGGAAGGTAATTAAAAATACAAAATAACACTAACATAAATTTTAAAAAGGTACACTTCACTACTTCAACATCAAATATCTTTCACAAATGCATAACAATTGCATTCCATCAATACATCACATATACCATTCCAATGTGCCAACCATCATCGGTTACAAGATCCATGAAAACCACAAAATGTAAACCTATCCAATGTATCAACCATCATCTATTACAAAATCCATGAAAATTACAAAATGTAAACCTATCCAATCTTTAACTAGAGGCAACTTTTACGAGATCTTCGATATTGCATACATCTTCTCCATCTTCTGTAAATAGTACTGCCTCCATAGCTGGCCTGGTTCAATAAGTGAGAGGTTAACTATCCCAAGCATTCCAATATCATCATCAAATGAGTCAAAGTTATCTCCCTTAATATCCCACTCTTCCACATTTTTGTCTCTTCCCCGCAATCATGAAGGGAGCTCTTCCTTTGATAGAAGAAGAAGATTGCTATGAATAAATACCAAATCCTCCTCTCGTTGAGGGAGCATTTTGTGTTTTATTTTCACTAAGTGAATAAAAGAGTAAGTACTCCAATTTCTCTCACAACGTGATGATGAGGTTTGTTGCACAAGTTGTCTCGAAGTTAATTTTTCAAGTATTGTTACACTTTGGTTCACCGATTTTCATCATATAATAAATTTCTATTTTCCCTCTCCATTTTCTTCCTCCAATATATATCTCCACTAATCCTTTAACTTTGTTCTAATTTGATTAAAAAATTTCACCTATATGAAAAAAAAAATAAAAAAAAAATCACGTTTGACAAATTGATAACTCAAAATTAGCTTTCTATACATTTTTAGGGTTTGATTATAATTAATTCAGTCTTTACCTAAACAATTACAAATAATTTTAGTTTGCTGAAAACAAGGTGTGTTTGGTATCGTTTTTATTTTTGATTTTTATTTTTAAAAAATAAAAATAAAAAAAAGAAATTGATGCGAAAACTTATTTTACAAATTGACTTCAATTTTTTCTCTCCCTAAGAACACTCATTTTTTAGGAATAACTTTAAATTGCGGGGTTATAAATTTCTATTATGGAACTTTTTGTTGTGTTGTTTATTTTTTTGAGTAATACTAAACATACTATATTTGCCTACTTTACCATCTTATGTCGCATTATTAAATTATTTTAATAAAATTCACTAATTAATATATTAATAAAAATTAAATATGGTAAAAAAATATGTACATAACCATTATTCCTCCATGTCAGGGGGCTCTTGTTAGATAGATTGTTGAATTTTTATATTTATTGAATTATTATTGTCTAAATATAATATTTGTAAATAAAAAAAATTTATTTATCATTGAATTTATTTCACTATGTAAAAAAAAAAAAAAAAAATTGAAGTATTAAAATAAATAGAAAAGTTGGGACATGAAATAACAAAAGGCAGTGTGGCAATAGCGTATTTGTAACATATAGAGCACGCACGATTCAGCTCCCTCTCTCTCTCATCAGCACTCTCTCTCTCTTCTTCACCAGTTCTGATCCAAGAGAAGAAAGGTATCGATATCTTAACCCTAGATCTCTTGTTCACACTCAATTTCATGTATATTTGACCACTCACCTCTCATATTTATGATTTCAATGTTGATATCTCTGTATTAACTATGCTTTTTACTGTTTCTGATTTGATAGCATGCTTAATGGTTGCTTCGATGCAATTTGGATCTGTTGTAGCTTTTCACCGCTAAAATTGTAGTTATAGAGAGCTCACGATTTTGTGAGCAATTGAGCTGAAAATAGTCTCTGTTACTTGAGTCTATCTATGTGTATATATGTGTGTGTATAAATGTATTATGTAATTTGTGTGTCTACAATTCTTAAGGTCTATGTGGAAATTCCCTGAACCTTGTAGACAATTTCTCTTTATACCTGAATTTTCATATGCTTTCTTGTCAAAATGGGATGGGGTCTAATTGAGTATATGTGAAAAATCCCTTTTTCTTAAATAGTTGATTTATACATTATTCAATTAGGCAATTCATCAAACAATTGATGATCATTTCAACCAATCTTCACACTAATCAATCGATTGACCAATTCATGATTAGATTTCTATTAATTATCAAGCAGTTAATAGGCTCTAAGCAATCGAATGATGCAAAAGGTTTATTGAAATGAAAAACCATAGTCCAAAGGGCTACAATACAAATCAATCCACTATGTAGATGAACGATTTGCAAGAAAAGTCTTACAATCAAATGGTGAATCTTCACCTAGTGGACTTAAGTCTCTTTAGCCATCTATGCGTTCATCGCTCTGCTTGAGAGTGATCTAAACACTGGCAAATCCATGACGATCAAGCCTCCTCTTGAATCCACCAAATGTCTTGTACCTTGGATGTGATATCTTCTTCAAGGATTGGTTAATTCTCTCACTAGATTAGTTCTAAGGAGTTTCGATCTGAGCCTGATCGATCTGATAATTATAAACATCTAATAAATATCAACATTCACTTCTCAGATTCTATCTGCATTAGAAACATCTAATAATATGTCCATACGAACTTATAATTTTCTCTGTGATTTTCGTTGGATTATAATAACAAACTTACAATTTTCTCTGAACTATACCAACAAAAGTGTAGAGAATGAAATTTTTCTGATTTAAAGAAATTTCTCTAGTTTGAAAAAATAGAGAACAAAACTAATCATTGATTAGAGTGTTGATAAAAAACAGAGCATGAAAAATGAACTCTAAACATCAAAATCAACTACACTGTCAATGAAAAATCAACTCCAAAAATCATAAACAACTTCACTGTGTTAGCTTCTCTTTTAAATTGATCAAAGCCGAAAACAAAAACCTAATGCAAAATTACACTCGAAAAACTAATATGAAATCGGAACCTTATATAAAATTCAAAACAAAAATCAAAATCTATGTGGAATCTCCATTGAAAACATACCTGATTCAACTTCACTGAAAAATTTACGCAATCAATACACTGTAACACCTACTCGATCGTAGCAATCTCTATCGTCAAGTCCACTGCAACACTTGCAAAATCCCTACGAAATCTTCACTGCGAAGTCAGTTTCCAAATCTCCACCGTGAAGTCAGCAATAGAATATTCAGTTTGCCAAAAAAATCTAACAAACTTATGTTATAAAGAAGGGTAAATTAAGTATTTTATAACTTAAAATAAGGATGAAGGACTTTAACTATCAAAACATATTATTGTGGACCTCCCCTCCTATCAAAAGCTAGGGAGGGATCTAAGACCAATTTTTCCTTTTTTTATTTTTTATTTTTTATTTTTTATTGTTGTAATTTCTTCAAACAAAAGTGTTTCCACAATATTCAGATCAAGGACCCAAGGCAGACCAAAGAGAGGAACGCAGCAAAATCCCTGTCTGAGGCCCGCGAAGCACACAGAGATCCTCACCGGTTATTTGTTTGTAAAGATCTTCTTCTTCTTCTTCTTCTTCTTCTTCTTCTTCACTATAATTTTTTGTCTACCCTACCCGGTCAAATTGTATGATCGTTAAATTATTTTTTTTTTATGATTTATGGATTTGTGCATTTTTTGGGTTTGTTCAAGAATGGATTTTGGGGTTGAGGGATTTGTGAATTCTAATTTTGGATCTGTTCAAGAATGGATTTTGTAGTTTTGAGAGATTTGTGAATTCTAATTGTTTGTTAAAAGTCCTCAAAGACCAAGTGAGTTGGTTTTTTTGGCTAAATGATTGTGCATTTTATTGTTCCGTGAATGTACTTAAAATTGTTGTTTGTGTACTACAAAAGGCGATATTCCCTTGTGATTCATTCCCTCTTCTGGAGGGAAAAGAAAAGATGAAGGAAATGTGAATGAAATATAGGCTATTTATTTATTTTATTTTATTCACATTTCTCTTTCCTTTTCTTTCCCTCTACAAATCCTTACCCAAATTCATGATCCAAACACAGACTAAGGGCCTGTTTGCTTCTCAGAAATTTTCGTCATGATCTGGGTGTCTGCTAATTGGTGTTCTGTTTGTGTCCCAGCTTTTTTTTTCTGATTGAATATAGGTTGTTTTCTTTTCTTGTAGTAGCTCTTTTGCACCAAACTATTTGTGAAAATGCAAAAAGTGACGTTATTCTGTGTCCGGTTAATGGCATCATGATCAATTGTTTACATGGTTTCATCCACAGTCCTTTGTTTCTAGGAATATTTTTCTATGCATTATACGATGCACTTTCAGGCTGTCAAATTTGTTTTTGTTTTCTTAAAGATTGTTTTAACATTGTTAAAAGTTTGAATTGTATGTTTGCTTGATTGGATTTTATTTTTTTCCATAATTCAGCTGTAGATGCAATGATAGAAGGGGCACGCGTTCGGCTTAATGGGTGGCAGCGGGCTGCAGTTGCTCTTGGTTCTAGGGGTGGGAGCGTTAGTGGACCCACGAAGAGCAGATTTGATAGCTGCTTTGGGGGAGACAACTGGGAAGCCTGCTTTTGAAAGGGTTCTAGAAAGGATGAAGAGAAGTCCTGAAGGCAGAGTAAGGATTTGTTAATTACAAGTTGAGATTCTAATTATATTGGCATTTGTAAGTGTCATATATTATCATTGTGTTTGTGAACGACTTAGTTATAACTGCTATTTTTCAAAGGACCATTGCCCTCCCTCTTGGCCATGGTTCATCTACTCTTGTAACCACCAGTATTGTTTTAACAGAGGTGTTTCCCTATCTGTTTGCACTAACATATTATGTTGCCTAGGTTACATTCCCCCTCATTTTATAGTGAGGATGAAAGCTAACAGATTTGAAAAATATTTCCCCTTCTTTTCCTTCCCCTTGTCCCTATGCAATAAAGCTTTCTTTAATTGATTTTTCAATGACGGGGCCAAAAATTTACTGCAAAATTCTGGTCTCTGTCTGTCTTTTCTCAGGCTTTGATCATGTAAGAACAGGTGGTGTGTATGGAGTTGATCTTAGGATGAGTAAATTGTTGATTTTTTGTTGTTGGATTCTTGTATTTGCATATAATTTTGTCACGAATTGCTTTATAAGTTTGATTTCACCTCACTATGGAAAATGATCTCTCTCTCTCTCAGGCTGTACTGTCTGACCGTCCTCGTGTCATCTCTTCAAAAGTGGGGCACGCATGGGACCTACCTGCCAACACATTTGGTGCCGCCTATGCAAGGTTCATGGGTTCTAGAAACTTCTCCCCAGACGATAGGCCACCGGTCCGGTTCATGGAAACAGAGGAGCTAGCATACGTTGCAATGCGAGCTCGCGAGGTCCATGACTTCTGGCACACCCTTTTTGGCCTTCCCACCAACTTGATTGGCGAGTCAGCACTCAAGGTGATAGAGTTTGAGCAAATGATGCTTCCCATGTGCCTGTTGTCAGTCGTAGGAGGAACGGCAAAATTTAATGAGAAGCAAAGGGCACTGTTCTACCAGCATTACTTCCCCTGGGCCTGCCGTGCTGGATTGCGATGCACAGACCTAGTGTGTGTATACTATGAGCAGCACTTTCATGAGGATTTGGAGGATGTTCGGCTGCAATGGGGTATAATTCCTGCTCCTGCTCCTGCTCCCAAATGAAATGTGGTCATGGTTAGTTAATAGCTCCCAAATGAAATATGGTCATGGGATGAGAGATATCGCGAAGTGGACATCAGGATTTGAATTTCATCAACTCGTTGGGTCATATGCTTGGGAGGCTTGGGAAGGGCGGTAGCTGTTGTGTACTGGTTCCTAGATGGGTTTTGTGCTTCACACTCTAATTATCAAACCAGTGCAGACATATGTTCTGGTTGTCTTTGATTTTGTGTGTTTTAGATAGTATGCATCTTGTTATCTTGTGTTTATGGGAGGGTTCCATCTTCAAATACCAAAATTAGTTGATGATGGCAGTTGTTTTGCAGTTCTTAGTTTAGTTTTTTGGCTATAATGGTTGATTTTAGGGGAGTTCGATGTGGTTATGATCTTTATCTTTTCGGATGTTTTGCTCAGGTATGCCCCTCGTATAAATGTGTTTTTATTTTGTCTTCTTTAATTTAACTTAACAAACGTTTAGCCAAAAAAATCACAACTTTCGTGCTGCTATATTAGTTCTTTTTTCCAACACTTGTTGAATGAGAAGATCCTCATCAATATCAATATATTGAGTTAAACCCATTCAATCACCAGTACATAAACTAAGCAAACCCAATCAATCCAAATCTTCACTATTAAGAATCAAAAGGGGGAAGAGTATACAAATATTAATAATCAGCAACAACATCCCGAGTCAATTAATAAACAATTAATAAACACATGAGTGTGTCAGTGACTGTAACCTTGTTCTTAGTTGTCACTGAGTTTATAACAGAGATTTTTGTAGCAACCACCATCCCACCTCTATATTACATTACATGATCAAGCAAAGTTCTCACTGTTCATAAAAGCTAAAAAAAACCCTCCCAAATAAACTCCAGTTATGAAGCTCAGTGACAACTAAAAATCAATTAAAGAAAGCTTTATTGCATAGGCACGAGGGGAAGGAAAAGAAGGGGAAAGATTTTCCAAATCTGTTAGCTTTCATCCTCACTATAAAATGAGGGGGAATTTAACCTAGGCAACATAATATATTAGTGCAAACAGATAGGGAAACACCTCTGTTAAAACAATACTGGTGGTTACAAGAGTAGATGAACCATGGCCAAGAGAGAGGGCAATAGTCCTTTGAAAAACAGCAGTTATAACTAAGTCGTTCACAAACATAACGATAATATATGACACTTAAAAATGCCAATATAATTAGAATCTCAACTTGTAATTAACAAATCCTTACTCTGCCTTCAGGGCTTTTCTTCATCCTTTCTAGAACCCTTTCAAAAGCAGGCTTCCCAGTTGTCTCCCCCAAAGCAGCTATCATATCTGCTCTTCGTGGGTCCACATCCAGTAACGCTCCCACGGCTGAACCAAGAGCAACTGCAGCCCGCTGCCACCCATTAAGCCGAATGCGTGCCCCTTCTATCATTGCATCTACAGCTGAATTATGGGAAAAAATAAAATCCAATCAAGCAAACGTACAATTCAAACTTTTAATAATGTTAAAACAATCTTTAAGAAAACAAAAACAAATTTGACAGTCTGAAAGTGCATCGTATAATGCATAGAAAAATATTCCTAGAAACAAAGGATTGTGGATGAAACCATGTAAACAATAGATCATGATGCCATTAACCGGACACAGAATAACAATGTCACTTTTTGCATTTTCACAAACAGTTGGTGCAAAAGAGCTACTACAAGAAAACAACCTATATTCAATCAGATAAAAAAGGTTGGGACACAAACAGAACACCAATTAGCAGACACCCAGATCATGACGGAAACTTCTGAGAAGCAAACAGGCCCTTAGTCTGTGTTTGGATCATGAATTTGGGTAAGGATTTGTAGAGGGAAAGAAAAGGAGAGAGAAATGTGAATAAAATAAAATAAATAAATAGCCTATATTTCATTCACATTTCCTTCCTCTCTTTTTTTTCCCTCCAGAAGAGGGAATGAATCACAAGGGAATATCGCCTTTTGTAGTACACAAACAACAATTTTAAGTACATTCACTGAACAATAAAATGCACAATCGTTTAGCCAAAAAAACCAACTCACTTGGTCTTTGAGGACTTTTAACAAACAATTAGAATTCACAAATCTCTCAAAACCACAAAATCCATTCTTGAACAGATCCAAAATTAGAATTCACAAATCCCTCAACCCCAAAATCCATTCTTGAACAAACCCAAAAAATGCACAAATCCATAAATCATTAAAAAAAATAATTTAACGATCATACAATTTGAGCGGTAGGGTAGACAAAAAATTATAGAGAGGAAGAAGAAGAAGATCTTTACAAACAAATAACCGGTGAGGATCTTTGTGTGCTTCGCGGGCCTCAGACAAAGATTTTGCTGCGTTCCTCTATTTGGTCTGCCTTGGGTCCTTGCTCTGAATATTGTGGAAACACTTTTGTTTGAAGAAATTACAATAATAAAAAATAAAAAATAAAAAAAGGAAAACTTGGTCTTACATCCCTCCCTAACTTTTGATAGGAGGTGAGGTCCACAATAATATGTTTTGATGGTTAAAGCCCTTCATCCTTATTTTAGGTTATAAAATACCTAATTTATCCTTCTTTATAACATGAGTTTGTTTGATTTTTTTGGCAAACTGAATATTCTATTGCTAACTTCACGGTGGAGATTTGGAAACTGACTTCGCGGAGAAGATTTCGTAGGGATTTTGCAAGTGTTGCAGTGGACTTGATGATAGAGATTGCTACGATCGTGTAGGTGTTACAGTGTGTTGATTGCGTAGGTTTTTCAGTGGAGTTGAATCAGGTATGTTTTCGATGGAGATTCCACATGGATTTTGATTTTTGTTTTGAATTTTATATAAGGATTCCGATTTCATATTAGTTTTTCGAGTGTAATTTCATATTAGGTTTTTGTTTTCAGTTTTGATCAATTTAAAAGAGAGGCTAACTCAGTGAAGTTGTTTATGATTTTTTGAGTTGATTTTTCATTCTCTGTTATTCATCAATTTTAGAAAGAGGCCAGCTTGATAGAGTTGATTTTTATTTTTGGAATTAATTCTTCATTCTCTATTTTTTGATTAATTTCAAAGAGTGTTGACGGTGTAGTTGATTTTGATATTTAGAGTTCATTTTTCATGCTCTGTTTTTTATCAACACTCTGATCAATGATTAGTTTTGTTCTCTACTTTTTCAAACCAGAGAAATTTCTTTAAACCAGAGAAATTTCATTCTCTACACTTTTGTTGGTATAGTCCAGAGAAAATTGTAAGTTTGTTGTTATAATCCAACGAAAATCACAGAGAAAATTATAAATTCATATGGACATATTATTAGATGTTTCTAATGCAGATAGAACCTGAGAAAGTGAATGTTGATAATTATTAGATGTTTATAATTATCGGATCGATCAGGCTCAGATCGAAACTCCTTAGAACTAATCTAGTGAGAGAATTAACCAATCCTTGAAGAAGATATCACATCTAAGGTACAAGACATTTGGTGGATTCAAGAGGTGGCTTGATCATCATGGATTTACCAGTGTTTAGATCACTCTCAAGGAGAGCGATGAACGCATAGATGGCTAGAGAGACTTAAGTCCACTAGGTGAGGATTCGCCATTTGATTGTAAGACTTTTCTTGTAATCGTTCATCTACATAGTGGATTGATTTGTATTGTAGCCCTTTGGACTATGGTTTTTCATTTCAATAAACCTTTTGCATCATTCGATTGCTTAGAGCTTATTAACTGCTTGATAATTAATAGAAATCTAATCATGAATTGGTCAATCGATTGATTAGTGTGAAGATTGGTTGAAATGATCATCAATTGTTTGATGAATTGCCTAATTGAATAATGTATAAATCAACTATTTAAGAAAAAGGGATTTTTCACATATACTCAATTAGACCCCATCCCATTTTGACAAGAAAGCATATGAAAATTCAGGTATAAAGAGAAATTGTCTACAAGGTTTAGGGAATTTCCACATAGACCTTAAGAATTGTAGACACACAAATTACATAATACATTTATACACACACATATATACACATAGATGGACTCAAGTAACAGAGACACTATTTTCAGCTCAATTGCTCACAAAATCGTGAGCTCTCTGTAACTACAATTTTAGTTTTTGTATCAATTTCTTTTCTTTTTTTATTTTTTAAAAATAAAAATCAAAAATAAAAACGATACCAAACACACCTTGTTTTCAGCAAATTAAAATTATTTGTAATTGTTTAGGTAAAGATTGAATTAATTATAATCAAATCCTAAAAATGTATAGAAAGCTAATTTTGAGTTATCAATTTGTCAAACGTGATTTTTTTTTTTTTTTTTTTCATATAGGTGAAATTTTTTAATCAAATTAGAACAAAGTTAAGGGATTAGTGGAGATATATATTGGAGGAAGAAAATGGAGAGGGAAAATAGAAATTTATTATATGATGAAAATCGGTGAACCAAAGTGTAATAGAGATGTTGGTTCAAAAAAAAGTGGGACCTATATGGATGACTTCACATGTTACATGCCTTGTCAACAATTGTCATTATTTCTTATGATATAAATATGATTGCATATTTTACTTTGTTTAACTTGTTTACCTAATTAAATCATGAATATATTTTAAAATTTTGTTAACTTTTAAAGTTAAATATAAACAAATTATTCAAATTCAACTTGAATAAAGTGATTTACAATTAATTTCAAAGGTTAATAAATTAAATTCAAATACATTTTTTAAGTTTTTTAAAATAAATAGATCGACCTTAAACAATTTATTACTCGAGTTGTTTATGGCCATAGTTTTTTTTTAAAAAAATAATATGACCAGAGAGAAAGCAGTGTGTGAAAATAAAAAGTTCCACATGCCCAAAAAGATTGAGAAGTTTCTCAAAAAATTGACAAACTGCCCACTAGATGGATCGAGATTGCATTTCAACAAGCCTAGACATTCAATAATCAATTTATGCATCGAAATATCTAATCCTCATAAAGTTTTTTTCTTGCTGCTATGGTATGCATAAATACATTCAACCTTTCGATAGAAAAATTTCAAGCAAAAGAGGGGGACGATGGGAAAAATTTCGTCGCTCCCATATAGTTAATAATGCCTGTGGAAACTAATAACAAGCATATGATTGTCTTCATCACAGCACACAAGTCTGAAAATTGAAATTGTGTCAAAGCAATAACCAAAGCACGATGAAATGAAACATGAAAAGTAGTTCTTAGCCTTTAAATATGACCACCGTGAATTCTATGCCGGAAAGGCATAGTATTGAGGAGCTAGCTCAGGTAACCACAAGTAATCAATTCTAGTTACATTGTGCATGTAATTCTGATTAGTTCGGACTAGTTCATCAAAAATTATGCACTGTGGCTTTGTCCGGAATAACACAGAGGAAGGGTGGATCTGCACCACCTGGTTGCTTGATAAACCACTGCCATTTTGTAAAGTAACCATGAGAGGTATTAAAAAGGGGGAAATGGAAAGAATTTCTAGATAAATAACCAAGAGAAGATATAATAATAAGAAAATTTCAAGTAAAAGTAAATATAGGGGTGGACTGTGAAACCAAGAAGAACCCTCCGTATGAAAATTAAAACTCATAATACAGTGTACTTGATACCTGTAAGTACCATCAGGCTACTTCAAAGCTGCATTGAGGAAACAAGCAGCAGCAAGGCAACGGCGATATTGTAGCATCTCTTCTCGACAAGAAGTCATGCGCAGACCCATTTGTTCAACATTTCTCTGAATTTGCCTGCACCAAAGTACGACAGATTAAATTAAGAATTCAAACAACAGGTGAAAAACATTTAGGTGGTTGGACAGGTCTACACACTCGCAAGCAAACAATAAATTAATAAGAACTATACATATTAGACAAATAAGAGATCAAGTTTCATAGTATTTTGCTTTTAAAAGCAAGAAGGAGAGTGTAGCTTGCCTGTGAATTTCACGAGCATGTCTTAGGGAGAGACTATTGATGAAATTTTCCTTGCACCATTTTCTAAGACTTTTTTCAGCTTTTTCTTTATTGATCCCTATCTTGCTCTTCTCCAAGAACTCATCAAAAGCCCAATATATGTTAATCAAAATCAGATGGTCTCCCTCTAGACTTGAGAAGCACTTTGTTGCAGTTTGTGCCTAACCAGAAAGGGAAAAATATGTAGCGAATACTCGATTTCCAAATTGAATGCACTCTTTCTCTATCTCTATATATACATAATTCATTCTCTCTGTATCTCTCTCTATCAATTTATCTAACATGGTATCAGAGCTATAGGTTAGCTCTTGGTGATCTTCACCTTCCGGCGGGCGGCAACCTTGCCTTCACCGCCCGCCGGACCCCAACCATGCTTATTGAAACCTCCATCAACTCCATTACCTTCTGGTCCATCATCTCCCACGGCAGGTTCTGCAAGTTCAACCAACCTCCATGGCTCTTCTAGCTCGAAACTCACATCGAATGGCTCGAAACTCACACCACCACTGCCCCTTCCAGAACACCGCCGTGAGCCACTGCCCCTTACAACACTGTCTTGTGCCCGTCGTCCCACGCGAGAGCCAGCCGCCACACTGCCTTGTGTGCGCAACTACTCAACTCGCTTGACCTGCATGCTTTGCCTCCAACCTTTGCGATATTGACGCTGCTTCTGGCCGTGATTGGCCCGCGCCGACGAGCAAGGATCCTCTAGAGTGATTTTTTCCTAAAGTTTCCTAGAGTGCTAGGTTGAGATTTACTGGCAAGTCACATCAAAATGTGACTTGCCAGTAAATCTCAACCACACAATGTAGCACTCTAGGAAACTTTAGCAAAATTTCACTCTAGAGGATCCTTGGTGCGCGCCGACCACGAACACTCAGTGTGATGTTGGCTTGCCCAGCACCCTTCGCACCCGCCACTTGTATGCATTGCTTGCGCCGCAGCTCATGGAAACTGCTACAACTACACAGTTTTTCAACCTGCCATTAACGTTTTGAAAGAGATTCAAGTGTTTCTGGAAGCAAACCCTTCTGAAATCGACACCATGCGCCATCATCATACACACGGACAGCACACATTGAGACATGCATCCAATGACTCTCTCTCTCACTTTACACCCACTCTTTTCCTTACTTTTTATTTTAATATTGCCCACCGACTCTTCTTTTATTTAAACACAAAACCACTCTTATTTTTTTTATTCCATTCTCCCCACACACACTGCTCCCAACACACCCAGCCTCCTCTGCTTTTTACTTTATTTTATTTTATTTTATATATATATATATATATATATATGTTTATATATTATCCTATCCTACCCGGCCTCCGAAACCACTTTTGCTTTTTCTTATCTTTATTTTATTTCCTTCTCCACCACAACTAAAAAAAAAAAAAAAAAAAAAATCACAAAAAAAAAAACAAATGCACTATAATGTGGGAGAATTAATAACGACTAGTTAACCCAAATTTCAAAAAAAAAAATCCCGCCTGACACGGAATTTTCTACAAAGTTTTCTTTTTGTTGTAATATGGTTTGGTGTGCAA